CACACACACACACACACACACACACACACACACACACACACACACACACACGTCCCTTCTCTACCCGGCCAGGTTGAGGATTGTGCGCGACGGAGAAACAAAGTTTTTTCCCCCCGGATAAAGCAATGGAGTTTATGGACAGTCTAGGCTGAAATAATGCCAATGGAAGATTATCAAGGAGTCAAACACTCTGGTCGGGTGGTGTCAAGGACCTGATTCTTTCTTTTTGTTTGTTTTATTTCTGCTCCTCTCTTCACGCATGAGGACAAGTGACAAGTCAAGTGATGTGAGTAATTGTGATCATGACTCTTTTTTCGGTCTGATCTGTTCAACAGTATTTTTCTCTTTTTTGTGTGATTTTTAATGGTTTGTGGCGGCGATAGAGGTGTGGTGGACTTTCTTTTTTGGGTTTGCTTAACTGTGTGTGTCTCCATCAGAGAGATGAGATACACACGTATGGTTAAGGAAGGGATGGCCCCGTTTCTTTAAGGGGGAAGTGCACCCAGAAAGCACCTCTTTTTTTCTTCTTTTGTGTTTTATTTTGGTTTCAATCTGTTGGTTTTGGTTTGTTCTTGTTTGGCTCAGCACATGGCAGTCCTTGTATGTAATCCTTATTTGGGTGGCATTGCATTGTAACTCCGAATTATAGATGCTAAGAATATGTACATGGAATATCAAGGGAAGTCATTCACCAATTAAAAGAAAAAAGTTCCTTTTAGCCCTTAAGAAAGAAAGTGTAGCTATAGTGCTGCTGCAGGAGACACACTTAAACGATTCCGAACATTTAAAATTGCAACATTGTGGTTTTGAGCATGTCTTTTTCTCCTCTTTCACTAGTAAAAGTAGAGGAGTTGCAATACTTATTAAAAAATCTCTGCCCTTTAAAGTCATAGAATGTATTAAAGACGCAAATGGGAGYTACYTACTTGTTAGAGCAATGATAAATGGGGAAGAATTTGCCATTTTGAATATTTATTTTCCACCTGGTCACCCAATTAATTTGTAATGGAAATAATGGCAAAATTTACAGGTCTGTCTCTTGAAAATGTCACTGTAGGAAGTGATTTCAACTGTCAAGAAACCACTGATTGACAGGCTTCCTGTTAGCCTTCTTCCCATTTCAGGGAAATCGAAACAGATTTTTGACCTTTTTGAAGAGGCAGGGTTTGTGGATGTATGGAAAAAACTCCATCCTGCTGGAAAGGATTACACATTCTACTCCAACCCCCATCAATGCCACACAGGTATTTATTTTTTCCTCCCTAAAACTATTTTAAGTCAAGTTGTATCATGCAAAATAGGACACATTGTTATATCTGATCATGCTGCAGTATACCTAAATTATACCGTTAAAAATGCTAGAGTTCAATCAAATCATTGGAGAGTAAATCCTTTCATTTTTAATGATGGAAAATTTGTGGAGTATTTTAAAAAAGAATTCAAACAATTCCTCGCTGTGAATTCTCCTTCGGCTAGCAGGCCCTCCTTGCTTTGGGACACAGCTAAGTAATTTAGAAGAGGACTAATAATACAGCGGGTAAAATAAGTACTGAACACGTCACCATTTTTCTCAGTAAATATATTACTAGAGGTGCTAATGACATGAAATTTTCACCAGATGTTGGTAACAACCCAAGTGATCCATACATACAAAGAAATCAAACCATAAATGTCCAGAAATGAAGTTATTTGTAATAATGTGGAATGGCACAGGGAAAAAGTATTGAACACACTTAGTGAAATTTATCTAATACTTTGTAGAAAAGCCTTTGTTGTCAATGACAGCTTCAAGACGCCTCCTGTATGGAGAAACTAGTGGCATGCATTGCTCAGGTGTGATTTTGGCCCATTCTTCCACACAAACAGTCTTCAAATCTTGAAGGTTTCGTGGACCTCTTCTATGAACTCTGATCTTTAGTTCTTTCCATAGATTTTCTGTTGGATTCAGGTCAGGTGATTGGCTGGGCCATTCCAGCAGCTTTAGTTTCTTTCTCTGAAACCAACTGAGAGTTTCCTTGGCTTTGTGTTTGGGCTCATTGTCTTGCTGAAATGTCCAGCCACGTTTCATCTTCATCATCCTGGTAGATGGAAGCAGATTTTTATCAAGAATGTCTCTGTACATTTTTCCACTCATCCTTCCTTCAATTATTTGAAGTTTGCCAGTACCATATGCTGAAAAACAGGCCCACACCATGATGTTCCCACCTRCAAACTTCACTGTTGGTATGGTGTTTTTGGGCTGATGTGCAGTGCCATTTGACCTCCAAACATGATGTGTATTCTGGCATCCAAACAGTTCAATGTTGGTCTCATCTGACCAGACTATATTCTCCCAGTATTACACAGGCTTGTTTAAATGTTGTGCAGCAAACTTTAAAGGAGCTTCAACATGCTGTTTCTTCAGCAGTGGAGTCTTGCGTGGTGAGCGTGCATACAGGCCATGGTGGTTCAGTGCATTACTTATTGTTTTCTTTGAAACAATCGTACCTGCTAATTCCAGGTCTTTCTGAAGCTCTCCACAAGTGGTCCTTGGCTCTTGGACAACTCTTCTGATAATTCTTTTCACTCCTCTGTCAGAAATCTTGTGAGGAGCACCTGGTCGTGGTCGGTTTATGGTGAAATAATGTTCTTTCCACTTCTGAATTATGGTCCCAACAGTGCTCACTGGAACCTTCAGAAGTTTAGACATTCTTCTGTAACCGATGCCATCATTATGCTTTGCAACAATAAGGTTGTGAAGGTCTTGAGAGAGCTCTTTACTTTTACCCATCATCAGATGGTTCTTGTGTGATACCTGGCCATCATTTGGGACTGAACCAGCTGATATTAACTTGCACTGACAAGGGGCAGGCTTGCTTTCTAATTACTGAGAGAGTTCAGCTGGTGTCTTGGCTTTCCATGCCTTTTTACACCTCCCTTTCTTCATGTGTTKAATACTTTTTCCCTGTGCCATTCCACATTATTACAAATAACTTCATTTCTGGACATTTATGGTTTGATTTCTRTGTATGTATGGATCACTTGGGTTGTTACCAACATCTGGTGAAAATTTCATGTCATTAGCACCTCTAGTAATATATTTACTGAGAAAAATGGTGACGTGTTCAATACTTTTTTTACCCGCTGTATGGGCTTAAATCTAATCTAAATGTCTCTTGTAGTTACTTGTATTTTATATTTAATCTTAACATAATTTCAATCTAGTAAGCATGACATCTGCTGGTTGGGCCAAATCAAATGGCTCGGGGGGCCAATTTTGGCCCGCGGGCCCCACTTTGGGCACCTCTGCCTTAGACGCAGAGAAAGCGTTCGACCGCGTGGAATGGTCATATCTCTTTTGTACTCTGTATCAATTTGGACTGGGCCCCAATTTTATTAGCTGGATTAAAGTCCTCTAAAGTTGTCCTTTAGCTGCAGTTATTTCCAGCGGGTGTAGGTCTAGAAATTTCGAAGTGGGAAGAGGAAACAGGCAAGGTTGTCCCCTCTCACCTCTTTTATTCATTCTTGCCATTGAACCGCTGGCTGAAGCAATTTGCAGCTATCCCACTGTGTTGAGTGTCAACACTGATTGGGGGACCCATAAAATTTCTTTATATGCCGACGATGTTTTGTTGTTTCTCACCAGACCTACCACTTTGATTGAAAGAGTCATTGCAATAATTAACCATTTTGGCTCATTTTCTGGATACAAAATAAACTTCTCTATATCCGAGGCCTTGCCCTTGGGAAGACAACATTATATCCCTAATTCCCCTTTTAAGTTGTGCCCTGCAGGATTTAAATATATTGGTATATTTGTCACAACTATCTTTGATCAAATGTTTAAAACAAATTTTATCCCTTTATTTGAAAAAATTAAGTTAGACCTTGAATGCTGGAATTGTCTTCCCTTATCTTGGCTGGGTAGAATCTCACTTCTTAAGATGAACATTCTCCCTCGCTTACTATATCCAATCAGGATTATCCCTATTTTGTTTTCTTAGAGGTGG